GCGGTTCAGGCGCCCTGAGAGCACTGGCAGCTGCCAAGTGACAATGACACCCCTGTCAGGTTTATGGCTCCTATTAGCAGTGGTAGAGCTGACAAGCATTTATACACAATTCAGCAACCAGGGGGACAAGAGGGCAGGACGGTGTCCTGGGGAGCAGAGTTAGAGCTGCAAACCTCATTTTGGGATGTTTCTGAAAACACTTCTCTTTTTTTTTTTTTTTTTTAATTCCCACTCTGAAGTTACTTTTACAAGTTTGATTGGACTACAACAACAACAACAAAAAAATCTCACAAATGGAAAGCCCTGTACTTCGGCCACCTCCACTCTGCAGTTTAATTGCTTTAAAGCAGAGGCCATGTGTTGTGTTCTCTCAGGGGTACATGGCAAGGTGAAATGAAAGACAGTGAAGAAAAAAATAAAAATAAAAATCAACCCTTAGAATAAAATTAAATAGGACTGCTTAAGGGCTATAGCAGTCTAAAGATCAATAACATGAAGATAACTCTCAAGGACAATCCTTCCTTCCCTGTGCCTTTTCTACAAGCACATCTTTCCAGCTGATGCTCTCCCGCTCCCCTGAGCACACAGCCACAGTCCTTGGTTTTGCAAGTTTAATGGGATGGTCATCTTCTCACCAAAAAACATTTCACAGGGGTTAAGACATCACTTTCCAACCTCCTGAACAAATTAACCTCCCTGCTCACAGGCTGTATTTTTCAAGTCTCTACTTGGTGATTTCTATGGGATTCCTAAGGTTATGACTTAAAAGTTGCACTCCATATTTCATTTTGAAGCACCGTGCCCCTTTAGCAGGCTGCCAGATTTATTATTCCAAAGGCTGGGACTGTACATTATGTGTTTAAGAAAGATCCAAAATATTCTGAAGTGAGCTTTTCCCATCACACATGAGCTGCTGTTGTGCACCAGCATTGACTGCTAGCACTCAGCTAAACATTTTTAGATCAAGGGCATTTTAATACCACATCGATGAGACTCTTATATTCTTGCCATAGCCCCCTTAGATTGGACAAGTTCTATCAAGGCACAGCTTCCCTCTATTCCCTGTACCAATTAATTACTTCTGAAATCCTAGAAACCGGGGTGGATATCCTTCATCGTTTCATAGACACTTACACACCTGCGCAGGTACAAAATAAAGATACCCCCATAGAAAAGGGGAGGAAGAAATGTGTGTTCACGTCTTGTTTTCTCAGAGGACAAAAAGGTAAAAGAAAAAGTCTCTGCAGCTGTTGGTGGCACATGCAGGCACTGCTCCCACAGATTCACCCCCATACTGCCACCCCTTTTCTTGTCCCTGATAGAGCACATTTCCAAGGTCCTGTCAGGGCATCTCACCTCTATTGTCTGCATGCACCATCTGAACTACAAGAGTATGAAAGACAGCATCCCTACTTCAAGCCTGCAGAGACGTCTATGAATGGTGCTATTCCCATTCTTTCCAACTCTGATCTGACAGTTCCCATTTCAAAAATATCTAAAAAAGCAAACTCGAACTGCTGAAGCCAATTATAGCTTCATTTTAATTTCTCTGCACTGCAGAAAACAGTGGGTCTTGGATACACAATTTCTGCCACACGAGACCTTCAGAAATTATGAACTTCTATGGCACATAAGCATAACACGTATATAAGCAGTGTAGCTCTAAGTAAATTTATTTTGCCTTTTTTAAAATACAAAAGATGTCAATCTATATCCTCAAGTTAAAAACAAATGATGGAGAGCAAGACAAGATACATCACTCAGCTTCATGTACCTAACTTTTGTTATATTTTCTCTCTAGCCCAAACACCCCCAAAAGACAGAAACTTTCCCACAATCTTGAGTAGTATTTTCTTTTACCCCTCCTCATTTTGTTATGTGAACTTCATTTCAACTCTTTAACAAAAGGTTTTTTGCCTTCATGGCAAAAAAGGCAGGCAACAAAATAATTTGAGGGAGATCAGTAGTACAAAGTAGACAGAGCGATGATGATCCCACCAGCTAAAGATGCAACCCTGGTTACCTGCTTTGAGGAGAAGGGTTTGCACACGTTTTGGATAAGCAAGTTAGGGAGAATCTGAGAGAGGGTGTCTGCACATGGTAAACAATCAGATTAGACTCTGGTCTCACAGAAGTAACTTGTTTCCTATGAAACAACATTGCTTGCCTTTGAATGAGCAGATTCAGAAATATGAAAAGAAACAGGGACTCATTTTGGTAAATCCTGTAATGCAAGGATCAGCAATGTGGGAAGTCGGACCTCCCTCCCTTCATGAATTTCAGTTACTGCAATCAAGCATATAGGTTTTTAAAATAAATTCCTAGGAGGACACTTTAATGAATAAACTAATGAAAGTACAATACTTAACCAAAACCATTTACTCAATTTAGAGAATAAAATCCTTTGCATTTTTCTCATCTGCTCTGTAAAGCAGATATTTATAATTTTCATTTATTTATATTAAAATCTCATGAAAGACATGTACCAGATTGCGTCTGACAGACTGCCATATATTATTTCCAAATTCCAGTTAAATGAAAAAGCAGAGAGATGACTAACGCTGAACTTCTTATTTGAATCTACTCAACACTGAGGAGCTTGCAAAAAAGGGACTGGATACAAAACAGTGCATAGCTGGACAGAGTGAAAACCATATAGGCTGATTTAAGCCTTCGATATAACTCAGATCTATCTCCATGTGAAACAGCAATTCATCCAAATTGTACATAATCGGAGACTTGGATAAATGGGACCAAAAGCTGAACCTTTTCCAATTTCCACTTTAATACTGTAAAAGATACAGCCTACGCTTTGCAAAACAAAACTTTCTTTTTCCTTTCAACTTCCTCAGGTTTTTTTCCTTCTTTTTTCTTGGTCTGGAGAAGGATTACTACATTGCAACCATCTGTAGCTGCTGACGCTCACAGCAATTCATTGTTTAATGATGCACCACCATAATATTTTCGGGAACAACTGCATGTAACAGAGCAGCTCTATTGCTTTAAGTGTCTCTGCGGCAGGGGATTCAGCAGAACACAGTAAAGACACCTCTGCAGCAGACTTGTTTACTGAAAGTACTGAATTTGACATTTGAAAAAACAATCTGACATTCTGTTATACTGTAGCATAGCATCTCTTAAACAGAAAGTGGAGCGGAAACAGCAACAGCAGAGGCAGAGAAGGGTTTAGTATAACTAACTTCCTGAGTTTACACTTGAATGGATACATTTCAATTTAGCTGAAGATAACTTTTTTAAAAACAGCATAGCCAAGAGCACGATTAAGCAAAAAGACACAGAAAACAATAAAAGATTACCTTTGGTTTACCTCTGTTCAGCAAGGGCTTTTGCTGGCAGGGAGATAAATCACAGTTTGTTTAAACAGCTACTAAGCATTTATGCTCTCAAGATGGAGGTGTTAATCTTGCTGAAGTAGCTCTACCTCTGTGACATTCATTTCTAGTCCAACCATTCTGGTAACTTACCTGCTTGAAACTTTTAATTCACGATGGTTAAAAAAGAATACATATTTGTAAACTCTAATCATAGCAGAAAGCACTACTGAAATACAAACCTTTCAATTTAAACAGGAACAGAAAACAACTGATCTGATACAAGGCAAAATTATCAATTTGTTATTGGAAATTGTAGGTGCTGGCTTCTCCTCCCTGTACTGAACAATTAATTAGAGCAATTACAGATTAATGGCATCATCAGTTTCTATGTTTTCTTTGTCTGTCTCCTATTCTTTAACAGAGACAGTAAATATTAGTTTAACAGAAACTCACCAGTGGAGTGTCTTTCCCCCCGACGATGCTGAGTCCTAGGCCTGACCGACCCTTAGATATCTCTATAGTCATCTCCTGCCCTGGAACTATAGGACACGTTGCTGGATCCACAGGCAATAGAGATGGAAAGACACCTAAGAACATGAAAAGGTAAAGAAAGAAGTCACACTATTCAATGAGAAAATGAAAACTATCAAAGGAATCGTATGAGAGCAAGCAATTAAGCTCTTGTATTTTGTTCTTCACCTTTACAAATCTAAATCGGACTACTACTCTGAGTCAGTTCTGAAGTCTCTAAATTAGAACAACTCCAGAGCTCTGTGAGTAAAGGTTCCGAGTAAATGTCTGGGAGGACATTTAATTCAGTTATAACTTATACAGTTCAGATCATGATGGCAAGGTGTATTATTCCATCCAGGACAGATAAGGCCATGTCCCAGCACTGTGCAATAGACAGGATGTCCCAGATTGCCTTTCCTTCTGTTTTTATTTTAATTAAAAAGAGGAACAATACCTTTGCATGTAAAAGTCAAGAAAAACAAGCACAGACATCTTCAAGCTCTCAAAAATTATAAAATGAGAGAAAAATACAAACACTTTATAAAATAACTTAAAACGGGTAATTTGATATTCAAAGAAAAAAATCTCAGCAAAAGTTATCTGGAAAAAAAAGAGAAGATCCATCCTGGGTTAGGGTACCAAATATATACTATATTGGTGGAAAAAATAACTGTTTCATACTATGGCTGGTGACTTCTGTCTCTGGAGAAAGATAAGTAGGTGCTGGCACCAGCGGTATCTCCTGTAAGTTGACTGGTACTTTTGTTGAAGTTTTGGATTGTTTGATCTGGTTGAGGACCTAAAAGCAAAGCAAAGCAGAAGCAAAAGAGATCAATCACAGACAGGCATGTTATGTGGACACCATCATTAGCTGCTGATTATCGTACCTTATTAAATCCACTGAGTCAACAGAAGGGAAAACAGCAATAAGCATAGATGAACTGAAAACATTCTCTTCATAAATAAATGGAAAATCAGGATGACTAGATAACTATGCTTCCAGAAATGCTCATGTAGGAAGTAGGGACAGGACTTCACCTTTCTCAGTTGTGCCTCTCATACCAAATAACATGGGTTGGTTGGTGGGTTTTTTTGTTGGGGTTTTTTTTTTTGGTTGTTTTGTTTTTGTTTTTGTTCAGCAAAGAACATCCTTGACATTAGCATGTGTGACTATTTCCACATAGTTAAAGAGAAGCAAGTAATTTTTTAAGTTTCCCCCCAAGAAAATTATTTTAATGTCTCCCCAGTTAACCCCTTGCCCCCATAAATCACTCGATCTTCAACT